GTACAGGATTTTTTGTGGCCATGTTTTCAATGCTCCTGGGTATTTAGGAGTAGAATGTCTGGTTCATATGGTCACTCTGTGTTTTACATTTTATTAAAATATAATTTTATTCGTTGATAATTTCATACATGTGTACAATTAACATTGATCATCTCTACCTCTACTTCCAGCTTCAACTTCTCCCAGATCATCCCCATAATATTACCCTACCAATTTCATGTCTTCTTTTTCCATCCTACTGAGTCTGATTAGTCCTGTCCATATGTACTTCAGTGTAGAATCATCCATATTATAACACAGTCTACCAGAGGTCACATCCCTGGAAAAAAACGTGACTCCTCCTCTCCTAGTAGCCATCAACTGTCAAAGGCTCCTGGAATAGAGGTAGGGGTTTGTGAGCACTCCCCCCCATGCTCCTACCTGTACTGGAATGTTGACTGTCGGTTTTCCGCACAGCAAGTACCACTTTACCAGCCTGCCAGCAGTACCTGAGACTTCCAGTTTCTCTCTCTCTCTCTCTGCCAATAAACTGCTGTCTGGACAGTTTTGTCTTCACTGCTTTAGTGCATAAAATGACATTCCATTGCAGTTCTAACTTAAACTTCCTTAATGACTCTGGATACTGAGAATCTTTTGATGTACACATTGTTCATTTGTGTGAACTCACTGGAAAAACGTCTATTGAAAACTGGTGTACATTAGATGGGAAATTTGTCTTTTTATTATAAAGTTTTTCTTCCTTATGTATTCTGTCCCCTATCAGTTTTACAAATATTTCTTACATTTCTTTCCCTGTCTATTCACTTTTTGAAGATATCATTTACAGCAGAAAGTTTTTCCCTTTTGATGAAGTCAGATTCATCGTTTTCTTGGTAATTTTGGTGTCATATCTAAGAAAATACAGCCTAGCTCAAAGTCATGAAGATTTGACCTGTATTTTCTATTAAGAACTATATACATAAAAATCTATTACCATATTTCGGGTAGTATTTTAATTTACTTTAATTTAATTTTTGAAACAACGTCTCTCTCTGTGACTTAGGTTGGCCTGGAATTCATTATTTTTCCCAGACTCCTGGAGTGACCTAAAACTTCTCTACCTCACCCTCCCAGGTACTGGAATTATGGCATTTGCCAACACAGCTGATCTGTCACACACACACACACACACACACACACACACACACACACACACACACACGTACATATCAACCTCAGATGTATGGGTCAATTTTGAACTCTCAGTTATAGTCCATTAATGAATGTTTTTACTGGTATTTTGATGACTGTAATTTGTAGTAAGCTTTTAGATTGTGACATGTTAATTCTCCAATTACCTTTTTTCCCCCCAAAATTATTTAGGGCCATTTGGAATCTCTTGCATTTTCACATGAATTTCAGGATTTATTTTTCCATGTAGACCAAAAAGAAGCAAGTAACGTAGCTCACACTTGTAATCCTAGTGCTTGGATGCTGAGGCAGGAAGGACACTATAAGTTTGAAGCTAATCTGAGTTACATAGTGAGTTGCAGATGAGCCTGGGATGCTATAGATTGCTATAGAACCCTATGTCAAAAAAAAAGAGCTGTTATAGTTTTAGTGCAAATTATACTGAATTTGTATACTGCTTTGGGTGGTATTACCATCTTACCCTAAAACTTAATAGTAAGTATTCAAATCCATTGATGTTGGAAATAGTTCCATTTTTAAGGTTTTGCTTCACCTTTGTAAGCAATGAGCTAAATTTTTCATCTTAAAAGATTTTCACTTGTTTGGCTAAACTTATTTCTAAGTATTATTGTAGATTCATTTTCATTGTACAGACCAGACTCATAGTCAGATCACAGCAATCCTCCTCACTCAACCTCTCAAGTGTTGAGATTATAGGTATGTGGCACTACACCTGCCAATATATATTAGTTGTGTGTGTGTGTGTGTGTGTGTGTGTGTGTGTGTGTGTGTGTGTGTGTGTGATGGAATTACTTTAAAATTTCCTTTTCAAAAAAGAATATTTCCTTTTCTGAAAATTTTCTTAGTGGCTAAGAGCACATATTGCTCTTGCAGAAGCCATATTTGGTTCCCAGCACCCACTTGGGTTCTCACAATCTATAACTCTAGTTCCACAGGATCCAACCCTGTTTTCTGTCTTCTTTAGGCACTGGACACCTGCGGTGCATATACACATATGCAAATAAAGGCAAAGCACTCATATATGTAAAATAAATCTACAGAATATTTAATTGCCAATGCTTCAGGCTTTTATTGATTTATTTTAGATTTGTTTTTACTTTTTAAAATAATATTTTAAATTTATTATTTGAGAATTTCATACAATATATTTAATCATGTTTATTCCCTTCACCCAACTTCTACCATTTCTTCTACCTCCTTATCTACCTAACTTCATATTCTCTTTCTCTTCCTCCAAAACAAACAAACAAAAAACCCATAGGGTCCATCTTGTATTCGCCAACTACTCCTTAGTATAAGACCTGCCTTGGAGTGTAATCAATATGGAAAAAACTAATTTTCCTTATCCAGCAGCAATTAAATGTCAATAGCTTCTTGTCTAGAGATGGAACTTTGTGTATACTTCCTCTCTTCCATGCTAGGTTTTTGTCTGGCTTACACTGGTTTTGTGTGTGCTGTGATAGTCGCTGTGTGTTTATACATGCATCAGGTCTGTTGTATTTAGAAAATGATGTTTTCTTGGAGTCACACACCACCATTGGCTCTAGCAATCTTTCTTTGCTCTCTTTCACATAGATTCCTGAGAATCACCATCATCATCATTAATTGGCACATATTTATATACACTGGAAATATTAATCCATTCATATTAATTGTTATAGGTTGTGGTGGTATTGTGTTCACCAAAATATTGTGTACCTTAATAAACTTACCTGGGGTCAGAGAACAGACAAGCCACTAGTTAGTCAGTGATAGCACACGCCTTTAATCCTAGCATTCCAGAGATAGAAATCCCTCTGGATCTCTGTGAGTTCAAGGTCACATTGGAAATAGACAAGCATGGTGACACGCCTTTAATCCCAGAAAGCCAGCCTTTAATCCCAGGGAGTGGTGGTAGAAAGTAGAAAGATATATAAGGCGTGAGGACCAGAAACTAGAGGCATTTGGCTGGTTAGGCTTTTGGCTAGTAAGCATGTGGCTGGTTAAGCTTTCAGGCTTTGGAGCAACACAGTTCAGCTGAGACCAATTCCGGATGAGGACTCAGAGGCCTCCAGTCTGAGGAAACAGGACCAGCTGAGGAACTGGTGAGGTGAGATAGCTATGGTTTGTTCTGTCTCTCTGATCTACCAGCATGGACCCCAATAACTCGCCTCGGGTTTGATTTTATCAATAAGAACTTTTAAGATTCCTGCTACAATAGGTTACTACTTCTAGGATCACTTTCAGTAATTTACTTCCAGTATATCAAAATTATTGAATTTTTTGTCATATAGCTAGTCACAGTATTTCCTTATAAACATTTTTATTTGTGTCCACTCAGTAGTGATTTCATGCTTAATTTCAATAATTTGAGGGGGTTTTTACAAAATCCCAAACCTCTGCCTCCAAACTCCAAAGTAATTGTGATTATAGGCATGTGCTAACATGCCAACTTTCATCATTTGATTCCTATTTTTCTGCTCAGGGTCACAAAAGGTTTGTGAAGGTTGATTTTTTTTTTTAAAGAACCAGCTATTAGTTTTGCTGCTCTTCATGATTGGTTTTCTATTCTTTCTTGTTGCCATATCTATTGGAATCTTTGTGATTTCTAGCCTGCTTGCTTTGGGGTTCCTCTAGAATGTTTTAAGGCAGAGAGTTAGATTGTTGACTTGCAGCCATTCTCTTTAATGGAGGCATTCAGAGAGTCAATTTCCCTTGCAGCTCTGCTTTGATGTTTTGCTATGTTTTCTTAATTGTTTAGCTCAAAATAGTTTTGTTTTGTTCTTTTGATTTATTCTTTGTGATGCCGGTTATTTGGGAGTATGCTGTTTAATTTCTACATACTTGTTAACTTTCAAATATTCCTTGTTACTGATTTCTGATTGTTCATTACTTGCAGTTGGAAAATATGTTCATATATTTTTAATCCTTTATACTCTATTGGGGCTTATTTATTACCTAAATGTGACTGATCCTAGAGAACATCCCACGTAATGCTTCAGAAGAATGTATTTTCTGGGGCTTGGGGGCAACGGCATATGTGTGTCAGATCTATGTGATTTATAGTGTTTTTTTTTTCTGTTCTGCTGTCCTAGGGAAATACAAGGAAGATCAAATGGTAAGAATGTTCTAAGAATAGGATTTCTGAAGTGCACCAAAGCTGATTTAGTTCCACTGGAGGCTGCAAGGCCCCTTCTTCCTCAGCTGCCATGGTTGTGAGGTTCCCCATGTTTTTATGGCTCCTGTGGAACTGAAGAGATGGGGTGGGAGTGAGAGCTAAAGCGCCACAAGGATTGTCATTCTTAGTCAGCTTTAGTCATTTTCACTGAGTGAATGTTTTTCAGGGCAATGCAAGGTTTCAGTTCATTTCTAGAGTTATGAAAAATTGTTTTAATATATTTGCCAGTATTTTCATTACTTTTATGAAGGAATAGATTTGCAGAAATCCTCATTCCTCTGTCTTCTCATTATATGCCTATGACTTTTATATTTTTTTCTCTCTGGAATTTTCTCTCTGTTAAACATTTTACCTGATTAATCGTGTGTAAACTTTAAAAAAAAAAACTTTGAATCTGCCTCCTTTTCCTCTTTTAGTAGTATTACTATTTATTGGAATTGTCTCATTTTTTTAACCTCTTTTTCACATTTATTAATTGTATTACTGTGTTCTTATGGATGTGTTCTGGTGAAAATTTCACTACAGAAGTTTGAGGGTCAAAGTCTGGGTCCTGGGAGCCCTACCAATCTCTGCTCCCCCACCTGTCTACAATGCACTGATTGAAGAGATCTGGAGAAGAGCAAAGAAAGATTCATTTAGTCATGCCAGGAAGAAGAGGGTGAGTGAAGCCTCAAGTCTATCTTATGGTCCCAACACAAGGGTTAGGTGGAAATAGGAAAGATGTGCAGAGCTGAGTTGTCCTGCTCAAGGTGCTGTTCCTCTCATCATTGATACTTCATTGTCTCTGCTTCCAGCTTCAAGTCAATCCTTAAAGTGGCCCCAACTGTATGAAATACCTTTTTGGGAGACAAGTTCTTCCTCTCTTCTGTACCAGGCTTCAGCCTTTTCTGTCACCATGAGGTGCACTATGGAAAGGAGACAGGTTTCTCTCTTTATTTTCATTCCTGTCAGGACAGTTACAGTAGTGATATCAAAAGCCCATCCTACAATTTAAATTGATTCTAAATCTTTGGTCTTTCCCAGTGGATTTGAATGCCACAATAGTAGTTCCATCATCAAAAGACCATTTCAGGAGTCTGAAGGTAAGTTGTTGTAAATTAGTGTATATATAGTATGTGTATAGTATGTGCTTTCCACCTCTCAACCTTGTAAAGCTGCATGTGACCATTTATTTTCTCAGAGCTGTGGTAAAGAATTATGTCAGAGAAACAAAGACTTCAGGTCTACACAGTCTGTGGCGTTAGCTATGAAAACACATGCTATACAAGAGAAAGTAACTATAAATGAAGAAATTAACTTTATAACACCATTTGTTGCCAGTGGCCATGTCAGAGGAGCAGCATGTGGCAACTGACTTCAGGAGTTCAGCCCACCAGAGTGCAAGGCACTGATGGGTGAATGTCTGCTAGGCAAGGTCCCAAGCACTTTGGCTCCAGAATGTCTCTTGTTACTGCTGTGTCTTTACATGTTTGCTGCTGCCATTTTTCTCTGGTATCTGGCATGGCGTTAATGGATGTTGGGGGATCCCACTGCCTTTAATGTAGTTTGATTATCTCATAGAAATATTGTGTTCTATTGGACGTTTTTACCTGTCTATTAGTATGAAGATGATTTCCTCTTAAGCTGTACTGTTTAATTGAAGTAATGATTTTATACAATAATACTGTTAGTTTAAATAGAATTTTGATGATTAAGGGTTTTTAATAAATATAGTAAGGGATTATGATAGAGGTTAGCTTAGTGGGACAATTAATATAGGTAAAGGTAGGATATAGTGTTGCCCTCACCCCTGATAAAGCTGGGCTGCAGAAGATAGAAAAATAGGAACAAGGAAGTGTCTCTCAGTAGGACTTAGGAGTTTCTCTTGAGAAGCCACATAGACCATGGTTTAGGTTAATGATTAAGAAAAACAATCAAGTTCCAGGAGTTAGTGCAAGTTCTTTTTAATATTGGGAAATGTGTTTACTGGTTTTGGTGCACATCATAGCTAAAACAAAGCTTTACTTCATGTAACTAAAAAGCAAAGAATTGGAGGGTTAGTTAAGATAACTGGACTGGACTCTAATATATGAAAGTGAAACCAGTAACCTGTTTTTCTAGCAATTATAAAAACCACTGCCTATGTAAACAGTTATGGCTGAACGGCTCCTGATGTTTGGGAAGTCTTGTTTCCCACCTGTAATACATAAAATGCTTAATCATGAAAAGGATATGAAAAACATGTTGTTTTTTTACTTATTATAATCATTGACTTAAAAAACAAAATGTAACCACTTTCTAACTTTTGTATTGTTTGAAATATTCTGCTGGGGCATATAAACTGTAAGGGAAAAATTAAAGAAGAGAGAAGGAAAACAGCAGGAAAGATGTTGAAGGAAAGATGTAAAAGGAAGACATCCAGAAGCAGGGGAGAAGGAAGGCATTAGGAAAGCTGAAGAAAGGAAACAGCAGGGTAGAAGAACAGAACAAACAAGAATAGAGTAGAACATGGACAAAAAGGATAATAAAATAGGAGAAACTTTTATCCCTTAGAAAAAGAAGTCTGGGTGTTTTTTCTCACTGACTCTGCATCTCATTCCCAGTCTTTCTGGGCCCTCTGCAATTTATAACTAGTTCCAGAAAAATAATTCAGATTTCATGGAATCAGGAAATTTCATGTAATAGTTGTGGCACATATCTGTAATCCCAGCACTCAAGAGATTAAGAGATCAAGGTCATCCTGCCCTACATAAAGAGTTTGAGGTCCAGACTGGGATAAATAAGATACTGTCTCAAAAACAAAACAGACAACAGTGTGTTGTTTTCTAGATCAACCATAAAAAAGTATAATAAGCTAGGTAGCTTAAAACATGGGAAACATATCTTCTCACAGGCTAGTAGGGTAGGAGTCTGAAATCAAGGTAATATTAGGGTTGATTCTGATTGTGGGTTCTATAGGAGAATCTGTCCCTCATTCTTCTCCTACTTTTGGAAGTTGTCTGCAATCCCTAACATACCTTGGTTTAAAAATGCGACTTCAATCTCTGCCTCCATTTCCACGTGGTGTTCTCCACTACTCGTCTTCACACAGTCTTTTCTCTGTGGATGTCTGCATTTTCCCCTTCTTAAAAGAACTTCTTACAGAATAACTCACAATAAGTGGATTATGTCTGTAAAGAATTTATATCCAAATAGGTCCCATCATGGGGTTCTGAGTAAACAGGAAGTTCTAGGAGATGTTATTCTACCCAGCACAGTAGTTAGGCAAATCACACAGAACCATCACTGATGCTCAGCCAACAACAGCACCTTGGCAAAAATGTCAGCCTGGAATATTTGATCCAACAAATTTGTGTTTGAAGCACAAAAGGATAAAGACAAATGGTTTTAATTGTGCATGAATTCAGAAGCTCATTTCCATGAATAGATACTGTGAAAACTACTGGAGGAAAATTTAAGACAAACACACAGACACACAGACACACAGACACACACACACACACACACACACACACACACACGGGGATTGGGGGGAAGGATCAAAAATGCATGGAGGAAAAAAGCAGTGAATTCTAAACCTATTTAACAGTAGGTTGAATACAGAAATACCTATGGGGAATAAAGTATGAGATAGACTATAAAATTCATGTAACAATAGAGAGGCCTACAGAAGAATCTGTCAGCATGGCCTATCATTGCAGCCTTTCCACTTTTGTTTCTTCTAGAAGAGTTCTACCATTATATGCTTTTTATTCCTGAGGGTGGCATTCAAGACGTGCCAAAGAATTAAAGTCCCCCAGGAACAGCCCTCAGCAAATGACTTCTGGGAATTGGTGAGTAAATACTTTAGATCCTTTTATCCTTGGAGAGATAATTATAAGGCGTGTGTATTAAATCTTTCCTGAAATTTCTTCACAAGATTTAGCTTCAGTCACCCACAGACATAGCTGGCTTAATACTTCTTTTATTGTTTTCTTTGTCTTTCTGTGTACTTCCTGGGTTTCTTGCCCTTCACAAAGAAAGCATTTGCTTAAATCATTGTGTCCTAGTCTGCCTCAGAGGGAACTCAAATGAAGACAATATAACTAGCCAAAATTGATAGGGAGGAGAAGAAAGTGAATAGGAGGTATTATATGTATCTAATTGCTTCATCTGTAATTGCTGGGAGTCCATGGAAATCATTTCCACTTGCAAATAGAGTCATAGAAGCATAAGTATCGTTAAATAGAAATGGTAAACAAAACTGTAATATAATTAATTGAAAGTGAGTAGTGGAAATGAGGCAAGAAAGGGAAGCGGAAGAAGGAATATGTTCACTTTAGCATTGCTCAACTGCTGAGGAGGTGGGATTTTAAGGATATTATATGAATTTATAGTTAAAGAACTAAAATGGCAAAGTAGAGTGTCTACCAAATTTTCCCTCCATAATGGTAAAGGCAAAAGCTGGTGAAAATGACCAATTTTATCAGAACTCTAAAAACTAACCAAAGTCTTATGGCAGCCCATAAAATAACTTTCTTTTTGGTGTTTGCGTTACGGGAGCACTGGAGGTCAATTAATGGATAGCTGGTCCCTTCTAGCTGAAAGAATGGGTTCCACTTCTGGGTGGAGATATTCAGTGTGACCTCCCTTAACAGTTAATCCAGGTGGACTAGCCAATAGACCTGCCTTCAGAACAGATTCATCTTAAGCCACATCAAGGAGACAGGACTAATAACCAGTCCTTTAACTGATAGTGGACTTTCACTCCCCGGAGTTCCTACTCCCTATCAGTTACCGTGAGGCTCTGTTGGGTCTGCCCACCTTTCTGATTTCTGACTCAGAAAGACATAACTTTCCCTTTTTCTTCTCTTCTGTCTCTTTCTTTAGGATGCTGGCCAGAGCATAAGTATATATATATATATATATATATTTTCTGGTACTTTGGGCTTCCTTTCTTTAAAGCTCCTCTCACTGCCACGTGACTTCTTGTCTATCATATAGCTGACTTTTATAGCAGTTTAACTTGAGCAACAAGGCTTTTTTTCTTTCCTCTTTTCCATTTTCTTCCTCTGGGCAGCTGATGAGATTTCCAGCTTGCTTATCTGGGGATTTTTTTTTCTTTTAACCTATGATAAAATTGCCCTTGAGCTTCCTTCTGAGTCCATTTCTTCTTAAAAGATACTATCTCACTATGTATCCTTGACTGGCCTGGAACTTGCTATAAAGAGGGGCTGGCCTCAAATTGATAGAGATCTACCTGCCTCTGCCTCCTGAGTGCTTGAATTAAAGGTGTGTGCCATTATGCCCAGCTTTGACTCTATTCTTAAATGAGACTAAGTGTACCAGCTTTTTTCCTTTTGGCCACCAAGCAGCTCCCAAATCATGACACCGAGACTTATTAGTTTTGAATGCTAGGCCTAGCTTAGGCACATTTCTGGCTGCCTTTTAAAATTTTTGCCTCAGGGCTTATTACCTTTCTTACTTCTGTATATCTTACTTTCACTGAGTCTCTATGACTGACTGTCTGCTGTCTGCCTGGCCTCTTGCCCTGGGCATGTCCCTCCTTCTCTCCTCCTCCTTCTCTGATTCGTCCTTTTTTGTTTCCAAGCGTAGATTTCTCCTCCTATTTATTCTCTCTGCCTGCAAGCACCAGATATCCTTTCTCTTGCCTAGTTATTTACTCTTCAGCTGTTTATTAGACTAATCAGGTGCCTTAGGCAGGCAAGGTGAAGCAGTAACACATCTTTACCTAATTAAACAAATACAGCATAAACAAAAGTAACACACCTTTACATAGTTAAACAATTATTCTGCAGCATAAACAAATATAACACATCTTTTCCTAGTTAAATAATACTCCACAACAACTAAGAACCCAAAGAGGGGATGCTGATTTCTCTGGTAACCCTGGAGATGAAACCCAAGGCCTCACATGTACCAGGCAAAATATTCTACTGCTGAGTGTCATTCCTAACCCATCATTTAGTTGGTTTTCTAGGAGTTTATTTGTGACTGTTGAGATAGGATATTGTTATATAGCCTGAGATGGCCACATACTCTAGTTTTCTTGCCTTGACTTCCTAAGAATTTTGAGTAGAGGTTTCTGTCATCATGTCTAAACCTGAGGTCAGTCTGGATTGCATAACCAGACCATATTGAGCAAATCAAACTAGAACAATGTAAAACCTCAAACCTCAGGCAAGAATTGTAATTTGTGTCTTGCCTGATGCTTTCTTGGAAGACCATATTTCCAAGCTGTCTATATTTACCTGATATAAAGATTACCTAGTATGAGAAGCCTTTTCCCTGGGGACATGTATAAAAATAAATTACAAACAATTGCTAACATTCTTGGCAGTTTGAAGCCGTGGTTATAAATTGAATTAAATAATAGATTAATCAAAAACTCTTGAAAGGAAATTTTGGAGAATGAGATTCCTCAAAAATCATAATATATTTCTGGAAATTTAGAAGGCAATCTACACCCCAGTGATGTTCTCAGTTGGTAGAGCATGTGATAAGCATACACAAAGCCCTAGATTCAATTCCCAATCCTTCATAAACTGGGTATGGTGATGCCTGTTTGTAATCCCAGAGTTTAGAAGTCTCACCTTGTATGATTCCATACTGTGGGGAAAAAGAAGGTCAGCTACATGTCTGAAGAGATTTGCACATCCAGGGCTATGTACAAGCTCAGGAAAGACCTAGGATGGCCTTAACGGTCCTTGAAGCTTTATGTCAGCAGAGAAGTTAGGTTATGACACAACAGTAAACTGCTTAGCTAAGTGATAATGTGTATTTCAGCACACATGCAGAATTTCTCAGCAAAGACTACCACAGGTTTATTGGTTCCACACTCTCAAGAAAATCTGTTTAAGTAGCAACTAATCCAATCAGAGACTTCAGTGGTCTCACATAACATAAATACAGATGTGCTGGTTAATTCTAGGTTTCAACTAGATTGGATTAAAAACTACCTAGAAAACGTGCAAATCATTCCTTCTGAGTTTTTTTTTTAATATTTCTAAATTTTATTTTGTAGATCAAACAAATCTTCAGCCATGTTAAACCAAGCACTCTACCATGGAACTATATCCTAGCAGCATTCATAGCAGCTAAAAGGTTGAAACCATTCAACTCATTGATGAATGGACAAACAAAACGGTCAGTGATATTGATACAATAGGATATTATTCAGCCATCAAAACAATGGTATATACATCTGCTACAACAACATGGACACCATCAAAAACATGTTCAATGAAAGACTATACATAGATATGAGACTCTAAAATAGGGAAATTCACAGAGGACAAAATTACAGTTACTCTGAGGCTGAGAAGAGGATACGAGATTTGATGACTGTTTCTTTTGGAGGTGATAAAAAATGTTGTAAATTTGACTGTGATGCTGTTTGAACATACCCGTGAACATTAGTTATGTACTATCAATGGATAAATTGCATGGCATACAAAGCATATTCCATTAAAGCTATCAAAAAGATATAAAAGCAGCCCTTCAGACTAAAATGAAAATACAATGGATAGTAATTTGAGCCCATGTGAAAATGTACAGAGAAGAATGAAAATTTAGTCAGTCATCAGTATTTTCTTAGCACCATCATACTTACATTGCATTTTAATGCAGGGTCTCATGCTGATGCGATGAGCAAGCTCTGACTCTTTGGAGATTTTGTATGAGAGGAAGATACTGAATGCATCTTTTCCCCTATGATGAGTGCTGAAAGGAAAAGTTGGACAGAGAAATGCACCTTATTAGTCCAGGATAGAGTCTGTCCCTAAGCAAGTCATGAGTCCTTGATACTCCTATGAGTTTGGGTCTGTTGAATTCTCTGGGAAATTACTTTCTTTATCCTTGAGTTAAGTTCAAGAGATTTTATCCTGGCCTTAATTCAACAGAGGCAAAAGCTTTATTTTTAATAGCTGTTGGTACATTAAATGCAAAGGAATAAACTGCTACCTTTATTCAGTGGAGTATTGTGTAAGGCATCCTTCATATAGTTATTAAAACTAGGTTAAAACATGATTGTTGGTCTGGGGAGAAGAATCAGAGATGAAAGAGCTTGCTGTGCAAGTGAGAGGAGAGGACTGGCATTCAGATCCTCAGAACCCATGCAAATACCAGGGGAGCATGATGGCCCACCTGTAATTCCAGTCTTGGAAGATGGATATAGGAGATGCCCAGAGCAAGCTGGCTAGCAAGACTAGCCATATCAGTGATCTCTCATTTTGACCAAGAGACCTTGCCTCAAAGTATAAGGTAGAGAGTGATTTAAGAATAGTACTAAAGTCAACCTCAGATCATCCTATCTCCACATGCAAGGACACATAAGCACACACACTGATGTATACATGTGGGGCCATGCACATTAAAACATGCATACACACAACACACACACACACACATGATAAGATGAAAAAGGAAGAAAACCATATTTGTTATTTTGATATGTGAAAACAAATGAAGCATAATACAAAGTTTTACAATTTTACAATTACATATGGTATAGAAAGTTAAATAAAATGCAAAGAACTATTAGTTATTAAGATGTTACTGATCTAAGAATATAGATCTTCTAAAACGTATAGAGTCCACAAAGTAAAAAACTAAAAATAGGAAAGAAATACAAGATGAAATGTTAGTTATAAAACAAAAAAGTATATTTTTATACTAATATGTCTATATGGACTACATTATATATTTAAACAGTTCTAGGTTGATTCCTAAAGTTAAACACATAAAAATGGGTAATTCTATAAAGGTAATGGTAAAGGAGTTAATAAATATAGAAGAAGCAAATACATACTAAACAAAAGAGGGTTTGTGATCTTAACAGCAAAAGAATTTGGAGAGAAGAGTGTAAAGCTAGAGAAAAGCACTTTTTAATGTTAATAACATAAATTACAATGAGATTAGATAGACTAAAATTTAAGCCCAAATTACAGGAGATAGCAAACAATAAATAGAAACTCATGACCAGTGAGAAAACTGAAACATACTCTTACTATCCAAAGTGATGAAAAGGCTAGAGGAGGCCTACTCTGTATCTTAGTTGGTTCCTCAAGATCAGCTTTTGATTCTTTTCGACTTGCTCTGTACCTTGGAAAGCCAAACTCTTACTTTAGATCCACTGTGGTGGTTTGAATAAAAATGGCCTCCATAAGCTCATAAGGATTGGCACTATTAGGAGGTGTGGCCTTGTTGGAGTAGGTGTGGCCCAGTTGGAGGAAGTGTGTCACTGGAAGTGGGCTTTGAGGTTTCAGATGCTCAACCTAGGCTCAGTGTCAGTCTCTTCCTTCTGCATGCTAATCCAGATGTAAAACTCTCAGCTACCTCTCGAGAACCATGTCTGCCTGCATTCTGCCATGCTTCCGACTATGACAATAATGGACTAAACCAACCCCAATTAAATGTTTTCTTTATAAGAGTTCTGTGGTCATGGTGTCTCTTCACAGCAATAGAAACCCTAACTGTTCTGGGTTCCCTGCCTCTAGCTTCTTTCCAGGTTCAATCACTGAGGAGCACTATAACTAGAAGAGACAAGATAAGAAGAAGGACACAAGGATAATTCTCTGCATTCTCCTTCCTTTCTGAGTTCCCAGCACTAGAGTGCATTCCTCTACTAAGGCCATCACTCTCGTCATGTGCCTCTGTTGCGCATATACTACCTGTCTCGAGGTCTGTAGTCACCCTTCTTCAGGCTTCAATATGGCAGTGGTCCCGATCTCCTCTCCCAATATTTGAGTTTTCTGCTCTGTGCCTTAAGCCTTTCCTCTACTCTGCCAGTGCCAGTGTCAATAATCTCTTTATTACTCTCTCTTCTAACTGCCCAATTTAATTAGGACCATCTTGTTTGATACAAAAACAAAACCTAAGAAAATAGATCTAATTCATACATCTCAAAGCACAAATGAACCTTATTTTTAAGTAGCCATTAAAGATTTATGAAAAATAAATTCCCTTGTATTGATCTATGAAGAGAAACACACACACATCCCTCAGTAAATAAAATAACACATTTTTTGTACCTTCATCAAGGTTTATATTTAAAAAGTTAGGGCTGGGGAAATGGCTCCAGGGGTAAAGGTGCTTGCTGCCAATCCTGATGGTTTGAATCTGATCTCCAAGACCCATGTGGTGCAAAGAACCAACTGCTGCAAGTTATGTTGTGGCCTCTACAGGTACACATTGTCACATGTTCTGTCTACACACATACACACAATACCTCACACATATTAAATAAATAAGTAAGTAAGCAAAAACAGCTAGAAAAATATTTTGTGGAAGTTGAAGAAAAATAATGTTGATTTGCTGAATGTCAAACAGAATGAATAGAACTCAGTCCATACCTAGATCTCTTATAATAAATGTATAGAACAACAGAGAGAAAAATGTTAAAGGAGTCAAGGGAGAACAAAACTTACCTAGGAGAGACGGCACATTTTGAGCTCTGTATGGTGGTGCATGCTAGCGATTCAGAGAGCAAGAGGGGTGCAGCCATCTTGAGGATGGCCTGGGCTACGTAGAGATACTCTATCTCAAACTAACCAACAAAAAGTACACAAAATGGACCAGCCAAAGGCAGGAAACTGATGGCCAGTACTGAGATAAGAACATTATCTCTTAAAAGTTAAGAGAAAAAATAATGTATTAGAATTCTATATCAAGTTAAGGCATTCAAGTTCTGTTATAACCAAGCAAACTTATCATTCATCTAACCTTGCAGAAAGAGAGAATGGATGTCCTTAAGCAATAGTTTAGTAAGTACATGTGGGATACATAAAACAAAGAAATGGCAGGAATGGTAGTGATTCTAAACAATTCCATAGTGTTTAGGGGAAAAGACTAGATTGTATTGCTATCATTGGGATGTGACTGCCCCCCCACTCGATTTTGCGTGTTGAAAAATTAGTTTCCATTTATATTTTGGTGGTGATTTTGAAGGTAAGGTCTTTAAGAAGCATGTAAGATTAGATAAGGTTATAAGGAATTACAGTCCTATAATTCAATTGGTGGCTTAATAGAGAAAAGAACAGACACCCAATTTAGGAAGCTCAATCTGTGTGACTCTGTATAACCTTGAGACTCATAAGAGTCCCCAACAGTAAGAAGGCCCTTACTAGTGTAGCTCCTCCACGTTGTACCTACAGAATCACAAGCTTAGTAAACTTTGGTCATTATTTAGTTTCTCTTTAGATTGATTTGTTTATCTATTGTTTGAGAATTTCATACATGTATATAGTGGATTTGGATCATATCTAAATCCCACTCCTCTCTTCCTACTCTCCTGGACACGCTGCATTTGCTTCCCAACTTAATACCCTCTTCGTTTTCAGTTCTGAGTACAATTAGTGCTCCAGTATGTATGGGCAGACAGCCATCCAGTGGAGCAAGGGCAGCCTAACAGAGGTCACACCTCTAGAGAAAACAGACTCTCCCTGCCCCAATGGCTATCAATGAATTTACAGACATCCTGGTCTACATAGTGATAACCTGTTTTGAAAGAAAGAAAGAGTTGAGTGGGTGGGTGGGTGGAGGAAGCAAGCCATTTGTATACTGATAGCTTAACTCTTCTCTGTGCTGTAAGTTTGATATTCCCTCCTTACCTTGACCAGGCCTCGTTTAACACGGTAGCTCTATGATTGCCTGCTCATGGTTATAGGCACTGATTTTAAGGCAATCTCAGACTTTTGATGAGTTCCAGTAAAACTGTCTCCCTAATTAGCACCCAGAACAATTCTCTCTCCTTTTATCTAGATTTTTGGAGTCTTGCTATCTAAATCCAAGTATAAAAAAATAAAAAGGGCCAACAATAGGTTTCCAGTTTGTGCCTGTTTTAGCAAATCTCTGAGAGATGTTTTGAAGCTAGTCTTGAAATATCTGTGCCAAAGACCTGGTAATTGTTTTTTATGCCTTGCCAGTGAAGTGTGAAGTCCTTCTAATAGCTGTCAATAGCTTTCTGTTCTCTGGAACTCTGAGCACTTGGAAAGGATTTTAATAGTCTCCTCCCATGACCACCGCCACCTTCCTCTCATTATCACTACTTTGGTCCCAAATCTGGTTATTTTGGTTAGCGACTGAGCAGTTTGCATCGTAGCCCCAAAATGGTCATGAAATTCAGGATAGGTAGTAAAATCAGTCATGTTAGATCCATTCTCACTTTGACAATACTTTAAAGGAACAGGAAATATATATTCAGTGGTTCAATGGAAAAGTGTTAATTTACTTTGTGTAAGGCACATTGTTAGAAGCTGAGGCTATGTAGATCAGTAAAAGGAAGTCTTTGTTTTCAAGTAATTCACTGCTGTGCTTTAGAGAGAGGAATAAGAAAAAGGCGACACCAAGCACTTGGAGGAAAGAAGCAAGCAGAAGGGACTGACACTGGGGCACTGGTGAACATAGGGATGGCCTAGCTTCACTGTGTGTCTAATGTTTAGCATAGGACCGAATCTGTAACAGGTGTGCGAATCAATATAAGTTTCATTAAATCCTGTCACCTTATTCTTCTTAAGATAAAACCACAAGGTCAGAGATAATCTTCAACTACTTATTGTGCTACTATAAAATTACTAGTAAATAAAGAAGGGTATCTAAGTGTTCCTAGGTAGCTTTTCAAAGAGATGAATCAACTAAATTACCCCCTAAAAGGCCCCTTAAGTTTTAAAGAACTCACATGACATGGTCACAAAGTAAATATTCAATTAGAATTTATTATCCTTGTATAACATTTTAGGTCAAGTTTATGATTCACAGGGTTTGTCTTTTTTTATATACTATATGCTATTTTAAAAATGATAAGCAGCGCTGGTTACCATGTAAAAAGAGCCATGCCAAAACCCAATATCAGAGCTTTATTTGGAAGGGGGTGCAAAAGAACCAGGCCTGGGGAGGAAGCAAGTGCAGAGAACACACACACACACACACACACACACATACACACACACACACACACACACACACACACACACACACACACACACACGGCGGGGCGGGGGGGGGGCGGGAGAGAGCAGAGGAGAGAGAGGAGGAGTCTGTGTCTGCCCTTTTAAGGACTCCCGTGAATATGCGCAGGTAGGCTTGTGGAGATATGCCACACATGCACTGATTGTGTGACTGTGCTGTGAGCAATGTGCAATCACACAACACATGGATGATGTAAGACACAAGACAGACCCCCCCCCTTTAGCTCCTGAACTGTGCATGTCAGCTGAAGTGGTGACAGAATCCCAACACTATATGTAATCTTTATAGTATACTGGAGTCTCTTTTGGGTAATAATGCATATGGCCTACTTGTGTCCACTTTAGAAACATTGCCACATAATTCTACTCTTTTAAGTTCTTACAATACTTAGAATTGTATCTTCGCTTCTGTGACATATTGCTGTTTATATTGTTAATTTATTTTATATCACATACATGGGGGAAAATATGATTAAATTAGTACATTATTCCTTTATGTGAAAAGATAACCTCTTTTATCCTTATGTGCTCTACCCCTAGAAACACAAGAACACACTGTAGTACAAATTAGTGACTATTTATACACTCAAATATTACTTATTAATTTTCATGGGATGTTGGAATTATCTTCTCTATATGATTGTTTTAGTCACACACACACAAAACAAAACAACAACATCCCATAGAGATCTCTCCTCCAGAGTTATCATGGCTTGGGAAATATTGAGCTAATGTACTCCAGGTTCCATGTTCCCACGTGGAAGCAGATTTGTGGAGATTTCTGGTAATAGAATAAAGGTAGTTATATATCAAGACATTTAAAAACTATGTTGGTAAAAATGCAGAGAGTTGGGTTATAACAAGATTAGAGAATCTTTCATATAGGCCTAAGAAGGTCTAACTTTTGGATTAGTCAAGTCTCTGGTCTGCTAAGTTAAGGAATTCCAAAAGATTTTGATCTGTGAATTGCAGGATATTGATAATGACAGCCATGCAGCATTGTGCCTCAGTTATTTTACCTGTTTTTGTCCTACAATTGAAGTCCCTCTTGCCTGCCTCTTATTAGGGCATTTGTCATTATAACTGCCATGCATTCACATCAGCCAGGTGAGTCTTCCTATCTCAAGGTCTTTCACTGTATTACCAAGTCCCTTTCTCCATGTGAAGTCGCATTCACAGGCTGTGTGACAAAACACTCCCAGTTTCCTCACATCCTTTTGGCCACTTGGGTTTTGTCTTCTTTGTAGACTTGTGTTGGTCCATACAAAGTTAAAGATTGGACTTTTTGACAACTTAAGCTTCGGTTCTCATCTTCTCATAGAGTGTGTTAGGTTATTTACTGCTTTTGATCAGTAGCTATTTTAAGAAAGTCTGTATCTAAAATACATAAATTAATTTTACCAAGTTTAAATTAAAGTCAATTCATGTTACACAAGCAAAATCAAGATTTCTGAAATATAACACAAATAAACAAAAGTATAAATCCCCCAAAATATCTACCTTAGCAATTTTTTTTATAACATAGACACATATGTAGCTACCAGGTAAACTGAGGAATAGAACAAAAATCACTGCTTTGCTTGCTTATAAGAAATCCTCTGTAGACTCTCTTCTCAGTTACACTTGATAACTTTAGTCCTAAATTTTTTGTTTGTTTTTTCAAGACAGATTCTCACTATGTAACTCAGGCCAGAGTCAAACTCATGATCTTCCTGCCATAGCCTCCTGAGTACTGGGATTACAGACATGTTCCACCATGCTTGGCTACTGTAGAAGTATATTAATTTATATGACCCTATTGTATATAGGATCCATTCCTTCTGAATGAGACAAAAACAATCCTGATATATGAACTGGTCTATCCCTTTCCTATTAAACAAACAAACAAAAACCCAATAAAACCAACAACCACCACAACAAAATAGAAACAAACAATTGTAAAAACACAAAAGGTAGCCAAAAAATGCCACATGTGAATAAAGTTTATTTTATATAGACATACTTAAGAACACATATATACAGAGAAGAGTATGTTGTCTTTCTCCTTCTTCCTCAAAATGAAAGCTAAAACCTGTATAAACTGAGGACATGACTGCTCCATGATATGGTTAAGGGGAAGGTTTCTATTGTAGATATGAGGGAGAGAACAGGCAGAGTTATCTGGAAGAGTCCAGAGCAGAGAAAGAATGCAATAGACTGACCATGGGAGCAGACAGGATCTGGCCAGGAGAGAAGTAGTAGAGCAGAGTGGAGAGAGAGAGATGTGGAGCTGGGGAGATCCATCTAGGAACACAGAGAGAGTGGTGGCAAAAGAGAGAACATGGCCAAATAAGGAGAATGAGTAGCTGGGGGCAGGAAGCCTTGAGGTAGGGAAGTTTGGGGTGGGTAGCAGAGCATGAGAAGAAGAGGTTGGATGGAACTTAAACTCTAAAATGTGTAACCAGTTTGAGCCTGAAGGCCAGCATGCCCTTTGATATGCTAATAGGCACCTTCTGCCAGTGAGAAGTGAAGTGGCTCCTTTGTAGAGGGGACTCTACTTCACAGGGTCCCAGGAATGCTGGCTTTTGTTTAACCCTCAGAATTTGGGGAAATGGAGTTTCCTTTGGACCTGACAAAACCTACATGTAGAAGGAATCCTTCTTATACCAAAAGAAAAGTAACATTCACATAATCAGAGATGAGAAGTTGAGGTCAATAGAATTCTATGCAAATAGACCTTGTTAAAAATAATACCTTTCAGTTTACTCTTCTGGAGTCATCTCCCTTTGTTCAACCTAACATAAAAGCAAGCAAACTTTGCTACTTCTTTGAGTTTTCATTGCCCTGGAACGTCACCCCTGCCATGTAGCACTTCTATCAAACAAATATGTACCTTCTCTTGCTAATTAATTTTGTGTCAGTTTAAATCTCAGGCTCAGGTGAAAAAGCCACATAGTACCTAGCAATAAGTCACTCTGCAACCCTGATAGAGCAAGATAAATGCTAGAACACTACACAGTACTAAATACGAAACCGCAGACCACTAAAAAGAGAGAGAAAGAGAAACAGGTATCCCATGAGTGGCTGCTGTTTGGTTTTACTTACGTTGCTTTTTGTTGTTGCTGTTGTTGCTGTTGTTTAGCAATTACAGCTTTAACCTTACTTGTCCTAGAGCCATATTAAGATAGTTGCAGTCCTTGGGGAAGGTATGCTGAAAAATACTGTCCTCTGGACATGACAGGGTCATTGCACTTATGAAGTCACAGCAGCTGTTGCTACCTACACAGGACCTATATCACATCAAGCCAGTTAACATCCCAGGATAGATGGAGCCCTAGCTGAGCAACTGTGGTGGCTATTGGGGGAGGAAGAGTCAATTTTTTTCAGATATGTATCTTCTCTTATTTATTGCCCTGCTTTAGTGGATGGCCTTTTCCCATACACATGTGAGCAGCACTAGTTGTACTCAGTGGGTTATAAATGAATAAATAAAGAAACAAACAAATAAAAATAAAACAAAAAATAAGATATGAAGTTTAGAGGGGAACTTGGGGGTTCTGAGAGAAGCTGGAAACAGGGAAATGGAGGGTTTGATATAATCAAACAACATAGCATACATGGAGGAAATTCTTAAAGAATAAGTAAATGTTGTTTAAATCTCAGAATTATCGTGCTTTCTGAGAACATGTAAACTCACACTTGACCTCTGTGATCAAGGCACGAATAAGACACAATCCCAAATCCGTGAACCCTCCCTTTAATTCACCCCTTGTGACTCCCTCTTTTCCAAGAACAGTAAACTCAACTGTTTATTTATAGTTGTGCTCCTGGTGGTCTATGGCCGAAGAGCACTGCCGCATTGGATGCTCTGTTCTTTTCATTTGTGTGATGAAAAGTAACATTTTTGTATATTATTTTTTAAATTGAGAATATCCTCAATTCTTGCTGATGTTTAAAGTAACATTTCATCTATTACATAAGTACTATTTTATTAGTCATGTCTTTTTATTTCACCCAGAATTTTATGAAAGCTCTAGAGTTTAGATTTACAGCATGTCTTTGTCAGTGCTGGGAGTAGAGTTGAGATGAAGAGCACTTGACTAGCATATACAGTACCCTGTGTTCTATCCCTAGCACCACAGAAAACAAACCAAACAGACAAACAAAAATACAAACATATAAAATAAGTTAGCTTGTGGTATCTATAGGAACATCCACCTGACAGTTCTCATTTCATGGATTCATCTTTCATAAAGAACTGACCACGTTCTATCTCCACTTCCCTGACTCTGCCCACATCAAATAATATGTAACTCCATACTGAGACATTTAAGAACTTCATGACATAGTCTCAGCTTTTGCTTCCAGCCTCGGTTACTTCCTGGCAGCTCTCTGCTCTGGAAATATTGAGGTATCTTGAAGCATTATTCTAATTATTCTTTATCAATAAAAATTCAGCAGTCAGATATTGGAGTAAGAGCCTGAAAGATCAGAGCAGCCACCAATCCTTCCTACCTGCTCTGTTTCCTTCTCCAAACAGAGAGCCAGATCCCTTCCTGCCCAGTCTTACTGCTTCCTCTCCTATTGTCCTCAGTCTTCCAAAATCTCTGTGGTTAATTTTGGTTGTCTAGTGGCTAACTCCAAGCAAGCTTTATTTGTTGGAACATGAAAAAAATATCGCACAACAGTAACTGATTAATAAAAATACAATACTCTGCAAAAGAAGTTTCACCGTGGTCATTGTGAGAACTGAGTAATTCATGATTTTAGAATTTTTGTGAAGTATTTAGAGCAATAATATTGAAGCTTTCTAAATGCAATGTGTTGCTGTTATCTATCTATCTATCTATCTATCTATCTATCTATCTATCTATCTATCTATCTATCTATCTATCATCTATCTATCTATATTGTTATTGTTGTTTTTTGAGACAGAGTTTCTCTGTGTAACAGCTCTAATTATTCTGGGACTCACTTTGTAGACCAAGCTGGCCTTGAACTCACAGAGATCTGTCTGCCTATGCCTTCTGAGGGCAGGGATTAAAGGCATATAACACCACATTTTATCTTTTATTCAACTAACACTTTTGCCTATTATGAAGTTTCTTTGAAATATTTGTAGAGATGTTTACCTAGTATTTTTATTTTCGTATATTAATTTACTTAGCGTTTATTGCAAAGGGGGGAGGTCAGACCCAGAGCCACAGACATGCTACATCATATCTCCACAACTGAGCTACTTCCCAGCTGTGCTGTCGTTCGAAACCATGGCCTGGCCATATACCATACTCATTTTTACTCATTATGACTATAAAGCAAGACATTCAAGGCCTTCCATGCGTTTATTCTGCGTTTGGGGGACTTCACTCTGATCCTCTAAATGAGTCCTAAGTTATTCTTTTAATCCAGAACAATTTTCAATGGGTTATGAATTTTCCATTGTTTGCTAATTTCTTGTGTCTCTCGTATGGATGCAAATTATGGACAAAAGCACAGCACTCTAGAAATTCACTTTTATTGCTCTAAGCCTTTGAACTTATTAGAAAAACGTTTTGCCATCACATTCCTATTTTGAGACCCAAAGTCTCAGTTAGATCTTCATTCTTATGACCTTTATACTGCTCATGTAAACTATCCCAATTCTGTTTTAGAAAGACTTCTACCTCTATACTTGGGTCCTTGTTCTAGCCATTTCCACTTTACTTAGCAGGCCTTATAGATAACTAGACACTATTTAGAGATGCACTTTGGACTTCCTGAAAATACAGAAATACATTGAAATCATGTTAGCAATACATATCCCTGTCATAATGTATTTTGCCATATGTTCATAATCTCTTCAGGAAACAAAAGTAATTTTTGATGTTCTTCCCTTGTGTGATGGAAGAACAAAATAAATACTCCTTCTTTGTACCTTTCAAAAATAATTAGTTAGAAAAGGATTGGGTGAAAATTGTTTCTCACTCAAGGTCACTCTGCTGCACATTAACACCACTGAGGCATGCTGGTGAATATCAGGAACAAGCCCTTCAGACAAAGATTAATTAGATGCGAAAGTTAAAAGGGAGAACAGATGAATCCTCAGCATGGCTTTTGGAATATAAGAAGTGTAGTCCATGTTAATGGCTATGCTTGTGTTCAAAGCCAGCCTTTTGAACTCATCTTATTATGTATCTAGTTTAAAGGCTTGTATCCCCATTAATAATAAAATTTGGAAATGAAAGAGAAGCCATATAATGATGTAGGATTCATGCACAGGAAATAACTATTTACCATAAAAGAATTAATTCAGAGATATCACTTAAGGAGCCAAACGTGTTTGGGCATCCTCTCGTCCCATTATAACCTACCATCGTGCTGGAAAGGGCTACCCTGGGGTTGAATTGAGGGATAAAACATATATGTATACCAGACAAAAAGTGCATTAACAACAGCAACCAGGACAAATACACAAATACTGTCCACACAAGAGACAAGAAATTAGAGCCCGCAGTAGAAATAAGAGAGGAAGATCTCATCCTCTGTTCTGCTTCTCGAGCTTTGCCCTGAGACTTTTGTGAATCACTAGAGCATGGTGATATTGGAGGATGATGTATCAAATTACAGAGAAAGAATAAGCATTCATAATCTGTTCCCTACATCCTTTCTATCTTTGTTACCATTCAAGGTAAACTAAGGGAGCAATTTGTTTTTTAATTCTAACATTTTTCTACATTCTGTTATAAAGGGGGCAAAGTTTCAAAACTCTCTTATCAAAACTAAGGACCATTCAAAGAATCTTTGCATGTAATTTCCTTTAAAACAAAACAAAACAAAACAAAACAAAACAAAATTGTACTTAAAGATAATAAGGAACCAGAGATGTCAACGAAATGTGCTGGCAGCAAGAATCTTTTGAACAAGGGATCAAGACACTGAATATCTGTATGGAAAAAATAAAAACAAAAAAAATTAGAAGATCCTGCAAATGTAGGGTTTTCTCTGTCCTGCCCCATCCTGTGAATAATCACTCAGAGGCTTAATATTAATTACAAACTGTTTGGACTGTACTCAGGCTTATTACTAACTAGCTCTTACAATTTAAATTAACCCATTTTTATTAATCTATATGTTGCCACAGGGCCATGGTGTTATCATTCTGCTGTCATCTTGCTCCTTGGGTGACTGGATGACATCTGCACTTGACTCTGCCCTTCTCCTGTCTCTCTGCTTGGAATTCCCACCTGGCTCTTATCCTGCCTTGCCATAGGCCAAAGCATTTTTTATTAACGAATGGGAGCAACACAGATTCACAGCATACAGAAAGACATCCCATATCAAGATCCTGTGTCTACTTTGAAGATAAAAAAAATTAAATCATAAAAATGAATCTGATAAAGATCGTTGACCTAATTGCTGAATTATGCTACTGTTCTGTAATGTTTCTAGAAAAAGTAAATAGAATATAGCCATGACCTTGGAGTAAGGAATGCTTTTTAATAAGACAGATAAAATATATATAACAAACAATAAAATCTGATGAATTGGAAGAGTATGCTTATGCAAACACATATGTGTGTGCACACATGCACATATGTACACACACACACATACATATACATATACACATACAACTGTTCTGATTTCCATAAGTAAATTTCTGAAGCAATTTTATAGTCTCAAAGTATCATATGATGGTTCAAGTTTTCCTACATATTAGCACATGATATTTTAAGAACTTTATTCTTTACTTCTATTGTTTTAGTTATATATATATATATATATATATATATATATATATATATATATATTTTATATCTTACTGTGTTGGTTATTGTTGTGGTTTATAGAGTTTACAGCTGGGTAGGAATATTAACTGTTTTTCTCCCTTGTGGATTTCATAGCACCTTAGGATAGGGAGCCAGTCCTCAGGGAGGATGCTTCCAGGTCAGATCCAGCTTGATTCTTCCAAATCCCATGTCTGTAGTGTGTAGTATCTTCAGCAATAGTTTTAAGTTTTGGAAGGCAACCAACAGCAATGACAATAGCCTATATTGTTTTGCGAGTTTCTTAGACTACCCTGACCACCACCAACTCAAAAGGAAGTTTCTTATGACTGGTACTGGGAATTTTGATAGTCTATGATTCTTGGGGGAAACATTGCCACACAAATAGTGTAACTTTATTACATATGCATACATATACTTTTATATATAATAAGTGGATTTTAAA